TATATATATATATAACAAAACAACCAACATCATTAACTTCATGTGATTTTCCCTTTTCCTACTATAAACATAGTATAAACTAAAAAGAGGTTGTAGGTTATTTACATGCTACCGTCCGGCACAGCTGCACCGTCAACGGTCTCTGGTTTATTCCCCGGATACGTTACGATTCTCTCCAAGAAACTAAAATTCATTGCTTCGAGGTCACCTCCTCCATTCTCCGCCGCCACCACCACCGCATATCAAAGATTCACATTCCCCCCATCTCAGCTCTCTATAAAAACCCCCCAAATCCAAACACACACGCGATAACCCTTAGCCACATTCTCACCATCCGCTCTGTCCACACAATCTCATTATCGGTTCCTCGTATACCATCTTCTTTCGTCTTCACAATTTCAAAAAACCCTAATTATTTTGGTTGATCTACAATCCGACGACGATACCCACCTTACCTTTTTAACTGTTTCAGAAAATTCAGTTCAATTCTCGCCATTAGTTGTGTGTATTTATATCAACAAAATGGCTCTTGCGTATGACCCACATTTTATCGGGACTGGAAACGTCGACACCGCCGCCGGTGCCTTAATGACGTCTCCATCTCCCTCTCCGGTGAGTTTGAGTCAAGACGAATTGAAGAAAATCGCCGGGTTTAAGGCTGTTGAGTTCGTAGAATCCGGTATGGTTGTCGGACTTGGAACGGGGTCCACGGCCAAACATGCAGTCGACCGTATCGGCGAACTTCTCCGGCAAGGTATACTGACGGACATCGTCGGAATCCCCACCTCGAAAAAAACCCACGAACAAGCTTTATCTCTAAACATCCCTTTATCGGATCTCGAGACACACCCTGTTATCGATTTAGCCATTGATGGAGCCGATGAAGTCGACCCGGACATGAATTTGGTTAAAGGTCGTGGTGGGTCTTTGTTACGTGAAAAAATGATCGAATGCGTTTCAAAGAAATTCGTGGTGATTGTCGATGAATCAAAGCTTGTTGATTACATCGGTGGCAGTGGTTTAGCTATGCCTGTTGAAATTGTTCCGTTTTGCTGGAAATTTACAGCGCAGATGCTTCAATCGTTGTTTAAAGATGCTGATTGTGTGGCAAAGCTTCGAACTTTACCGGAATCCGAAGACCCATATGTAACTGACAATAGCAATTACATCATCGATTTGTATTTCAAGAAAAATATAGGGGATTTGAAGGCTGCCGGCGATGCAATTTTGAGGATTCCCGGAGTGGTGGAGCATGGAATGTTTCTTGATATGGCTACCACTTTGATAGTCGCCGGAGAACATGGTGTCACCGTTAAGAACAAAGCTTAGGGAGGTAGACATGATAGACATGATCGAACTAAAATGATTTTGAGCTTTTTTTTTTTTTTTTTTTTTACATTTCGATAGTTTCTAGGTTTCTAGATAAGAATGCAGGTATGAAGGAAGGGTTCATGTTTTCTCGATTAGATATGTTGTTACAGGGGAGAGTTTTGAGTTGTTCTGCACTTGTTAATATTACATGCTAATGGGAATGATTTGGCTCAACATTTTGGTATTAATTTCGAGAGTTTTGGGGGTTATTTGTGTGTTTGTTTTCGACCTTTTTAGATGATAGTTTTATGAAGAAAACAGAGTACATAAAATCTTGACACCATAACTTGTTCGTATGGGACAATCTTGATACGTCTTTCATTTTGTAACACCCCGCGCCCGAGTTGCAGCAATGAAAACAAGAGAAGAGAAAAGAAAGTAAGGAGAGAAAAGAAAGAGAAAAGAAAGGAAAAGAAATTTGTCTTTTGTTCTTTCGAGTTGGAAAGTAAAACAAATTTGTCTTTTGTGCTCTCGAGTTACAGAGAAATGGAAGGAAAGTTAAGCATTTTCTTCTTTCTTTTCAAATCCTTCCAAATCAGAATGAAAGTTAGGAGGGAAAGTGATCATTCCATTTCCTTCAACTTCCTTCCTTTAATGAAATTCAGGAGCACCAATTTCTCTTACTTTCCTCTCACTTTCACCCATTTCCTTTCTTTTATCTCCTTAAGTTGAACTCGGGAGCGGGGTGTAAGTGCCAAGAGTCGACTTGTAAGCATATCCTAGAACGAGATTACATTATGTGTCTTTTTTACTTCTGTTTTTCTATTACTTAGCTTTCCGCAAAGGCTCCTGTAAATTTCTTAACTTGATCCGACAGAAGGAGGAAGGTTACCCGACAGAAGGAGGAAGGTCAACCCTTAAATAAACTGACGTTTTGATTTTTGGATGGTTTGAAGGGAAACATGTATGTATGGACCTTACAGGGGTATCCCCTCTCGTGGACTTGAGGGTTGGGGGTTTCACGGCGAGATATGTTACTTACAGGGGTATCCCCATTTGTATTTGATACGTTTGGTTTCCGCGCGTCGGATGCGGTTGAGCTTCTTAATAGAGTACAACGTATTATATGTGTATTTTGAGTTTATATATATATATATATATATAT